GAAATGTAAATGGTGGCAACTTTAAAGTTGCATAAATCTTCGCAAAAAGAAAATTTTTATTATTATTATTATTTTTTAAATTTTATTTTTTTCATGCAGTCACCACTACATGAATTCGGTAAAGTAGGAATCTGATTATGGCAGATAGTACCATTCAGATTTTTTTTTTTTTTTTTTTTTTTTTTTTTTTGATATTCTGCATATTCTGCATGTGACATCTTATCTCAGGCTCAAGAACGTATAATTTTTGTGCGGGGGGGACTGCAGAAGCCTAAAAAAATAATCCAATGATAAAGACCAATGAATGTTTTCTTTGCTTACAACATGTGTTTCCATTGCGCAGTTAGCATTGTATAAAACAAGTAATAATTGTGGTTGGTTTATCTTTTCTCATTGTCAGTGTTGCAGTTCCTTAGAGACACAACCAAGAATGTCGTTATGACATTCTCAAAGACTTTATAAACAATTGGACGACTTCAAATGTGGTCCATATATGTGAAGTGGTTTGGTCATACCAAGCCATAAGCTGCCACTTTGCACCATACAAATACAGCTGAGCAAGGATGCTGGCAACAATGATTGCCGCAAGGTGCTCATCAACCAAATCAGGACTCTGGAAGGTGAAGGTGCACGAATGCAAGGCAAGATTGAAGGAAATGATCAACATTATTACTGAGTATTTCTGCATTAGAATTTTAAACTTCCAAGGGCTTAAACTATATTGTTAATTTAAAAAGAAAAATAGGTAATGGTTTTTTAGTATAATAGTTGCCTGAATATAAATTTTCAAATAGAGTTTAAAAGTGCTAAATACTAAGTTCTCTAAACTCTTTTTTAAAGTAGGGAATGGGCTTGTTGCAAGAACTAAATCCTAAACATTGGTAAGTAAAAAATCAAAACATATAATACTACTAAAAATAATATGTTACATATTTAACACATTCCATGTGGAAAATGTACTTGTATATTTTTTGCAGTCTGTCACTAGAGCATAGGTTACATAAAAGTACATATTTAGTAGATTTGTACTGTAGAGTAGGTATGCTTAACACGATGGGTATCGTAAGTGTGTATAGTGTTTGTGTGTATCGATTTATTGTGATTTTACTAAGTGACCAAACTCATTGACTCGCTGAATGACCAAACCAATGTGAAATTCCCCAAAAAATGCCCACCACACATTAAGTCCATGGCGAAATATAACCTGCATGGAATGTATTAAAAATACTTTAAAATGAATATTAGTTTGGGAATTCAGTTCTGAAATATAAATAATGTTTTCCTTTTAATTTAAAATAGTTTCTGTTTCTAATTCTGTCTCTCTGATGCTATCAAATTGAGAAATCTCAGCTGTTTTTTCAGAAAATAAAATTTTTATAAAATGCTAGATAATCTCTCATTAATTAAAGAAGGCATTTTTTATACATGGTTTGGAAAATTGGAAAACTAATTTTAGTTCAGGAATTCAGCTCTAAAACTTAAATTGCGTTTTCCTTTAAGTTGAAATAATTGTTGTTTCTGTTTCTTCTTTCTCTATGATGCTATCAAATTGAGAAATATCAGCTGTTTTTCAAAAAATCAAATTTTTATTTGGGAAATGCTAGATAATCTCTCATTGGTAGTTTAAGTTTCTTTCTTTTTTTTTTTTTTTTTTTTTTTTACACGATTGTAAAATTGAAATTGCAAACCCATTTTATGTTGTTGGATTGCGTGTTGATGTATCATACTAATCTTCTATTTTCCTTGATAAACTAAAACCTAATCAGATATAAGAGATTCATAAAATGATTTGAAAGAAATGTTGCTTCTAATATTATCTGTTGGATTCTTTTAGCTCTAGTTTGGAAAATTCTTAGTAATCTGCTTATTTTTTAAGATAATTTATTTTATTTTATCAATTGCATTCAGTGAAATATTTGTGTTTTACAAGAGAACAAATATCTTTGGATTTCATCGATTTCACCCTCTGAATATTTATAGAGGATCTTTTTCTTCTTTTGACATAAAAGTTCAGGCTGAGTTGTTGTTATCCTAGAATCCTCTTCTACTCTTCCAATTCTTTGTTTTTCCATTTGATAATTTTAGTAAATACAGTTTAATTAGTTGGAGCCTAGGCATTCTTCCAACTTTAATTTTTTACTGATTTATAGTTAAAATTTTTAAATGTTAAAGTAAAAGAATTCATTCAGCAAATCTCATGCTATAGTTTTTAATATATTTAGCAGTATCACTTTCTGTATAGTTGTTTTGTATATGATCTCAGAAATAAATGACGAAAATTAGTGATAAAACTCTGAGTAGTATTTCATTTTGTAAGTTTCTCCTTTTTTATTGTATTGTGATATGTTTGCTAACTAACAGTGTGCAAAGGGAAAATTATTATTTCAGTCCTGCTGATGGTACTGCTTTTCTTTTCCTGGGTATTACTAACTGATTCATTGTTATATTGTTTTGAAAGAGAAGTCTTTTATGATGAATAACCAAAATGGGGGGGGTAAATAAACTTTTTGTGACATTTTTACTAGTCTTCTAAATACAGTCAAAAGTCGTTAATCCGGACTCGTCGGGACTTCCGGTCTCGCCGATTCCGGATTATAGATAATCAGTTTAAGGCATGCAGAAATTATAAAACTTATTAAACCGTAATTTATGAAATAAAGAATAATTATGATCTAAAGGGTATTAAAATTTACAAAAAAAAAAAAAAAAAAAAGGCCTAATATTTATTTGTTTTTACTTTATTACACATTTCTTTCAATTAAGTTGTTTAAGTTGCTTCGTTTTATGTGATAATACTTTCTCTTTAATTCTATAAACAGACATAATTTCTTGTTCAGTTACAAAGTTCCGCTGTTCAAGTCCTATAATTGCTGTGTCGAGAATACCGACTAATTTGTCAATCGAAATTTTTTTGTTTTCAATAACCTCTGTGTCACTTTCTTCACTATCAGAAGCGAATTATAATAACGAGGAATTTGATTTAAATCATATCAAAGACTGAGTACATCGAGATGAAATACTACATTTAGTAAGGAATTATAAGCCAAATAAAATAAAAACATCTGCCCTGAAGATAAGGATAGTGCTGGCAGATTAACTTCCAATTCATTGCGTGCTGTGGCATTCCCGCCCCCCCCCAGCCGCAGAGCAGCATGAAATTGATAAATAAATTTCGGAATGGTTATAGATACAAAGGATATGCCTTTATCCATTTTTTGCAGCAATTCCACTTTTTGTTTAATGGACTTCCTTCGCTCGGACATACCTTCGCTTTGTAGATCCTTTACATATTAGTAAATATATATCGGAAATTCTATTTGATATAATCGAAAGTTCAAGCTTACTTTTATAAAATTTCTCTAACAGTCTGCAAAAAATAATAAGCTGGATCCAATTCGAAGATTAAGGAACAAGGCAATCTGCAACATTCACTGAATTAGATAATTTTAGCATAGCTTATATCATCTGTTATACATTAAACGCGCATGCGTAAACGTATTATGCGCATGCATATTCTCAGCCGTAAAGGTCTTACGCGCATGCGTCAAAGCAACGCATGCGCAGAAAGTTTGTAGCTTTGAGCTCCGGATTATAGATCATTCCGGATTATGGGTGTCTGAATTAACGACTTTTGACTGTAAAATAAATCATGCATTTTTTTGTTGTTTTTGTTTTTTAAATTTGTCATTTATGAGTTTTACTTATTATCCATTGCCCAAAATGCATCATAACTCTTTGCATCAATAAATTTTGTTGTCCTTGGAACCACATAGTTTCCATCAACTTTCCTTTATACATGACTCCTTTACCCTTTTTTCAGCCTTCAGTCATTTATCATGTGGCATTTTGCTTAAAAATATTATTTCTGAATATTTTTATTCAATTTATGTGCAGGGACTTTCTGTGAATTGCAAAAATATGTAATTAGTTTTCTGATGTGATTTAGGTTTATGAAACGAAAGTACTATTGAGGAAGGTGTATATTTGTATAATTGTCTGCACAATTCATGAGAAGGATTCTTCAGATATTTCATCCCGTCAGATTTTGAAGAAAAGTTGCCAGAAACATTAAAAAAAACTTAATAAATTATTTATTCAGTGTGCTTCATAAGCGGATTTTATTTTTTATAATTTTTTGTCAAATATTGTCTGTAAACTGCAGCAGTATTTAAATCAATTAACTAGAATTAAAACTTGTTGCTTATAGCTTTATATGTTTGTTGCAAAAAATACATTATCAGAATTAGAAAAAATGGATTAACATAGAAATCATAAACTTTCCTTAGCCTTAGTTTTGTTAGTAGCCATGTTTCTGAAAGGTGTGCACTGGGCACTTTCAAATTTATTCATATAAGTTACTCAAAAATTATTAAGAATTTTGGGCAAAATCATTGAATTTAAGCCATTGTGTGTCTCTTCTGTTGTTTTGTAGTGAATGCTTATATTAAGTTTTACTGATAAAATGTAAATTAGCCTCTGGAAAATAGCTGCAGCCACAATTTGCAGTTAAATGTTTAAGAACTGAACTGTTAATTCATATGATTGTGATAAAAAAACGAATAAATTTAAATGTGTATTATCATTACTGTTATTTCATCAAGAGATTTTTAATAAAAATATTCATTTAGTACCTTTATATACTGATTTTTAATTAGGTGTAGAGGGAAAAAAAATTGTGCTGGTGAGATAGGAAGCTGAAATTTATATTTTAAATATATATCCTTCTGTTATTTTTAATTATGAAATTCAACAGGAGTGATAAAAACTGTGGAAAGATTAAACTCTTTTAGTGTAAAATACTTTAACTGTCATTGTGTAATTTAATTTACTTATTACTATGTTAGGTATACAGGTTATAAAACTTGCTGCTACTTGTATTTAAATTCTGTCCAAGGTAATATTAATAATTCCAAATTCCTTAAATTCCTCTTCATGTGTATTAGGATCTGTTATAAACATTGGTCTTAAATATTTATCTATACAAATGCATTGCTTTTTAGGGCAATCTAATACGTCATCTTGCTATACATGACCCAGAAGCAAGTGTTGCTGAAAAAGAAGAAGCATTACGAATTGGAGAACCAAAGGGACCTGGTGAGCAACCTGATGGAGAAGAAGAAGAATATTATGTTGAAGAAGAGGAGGAGGAGGAAGATGTAGATTCTCCAAACTTTCCTGGAACTGTAACCATAGCTGAGCAAGGAACTGTACAGGAAACTGAAGATGGTCATCAGGTTAAAAATCTTCCTAATTTCCTTTTTTTCAACTCTTTCTTGAAATTTTTAAATGTGGTTTAAAACACATGAATTTTACCAGGTGGTTGTGTTTGAAGTCATTCAGCTACATCCTCCACAACCAGAGCCAGAAACTTGTGCGACTGATCAAATGTCTACGAACAATAATGGTGAAGTTGTGTCATTAACAACATTGCAAGATGTGTCTGAAGAGGACTGCTTTGCTAGTGCAGTTGCGGAAGCTATAGGTGAAGCAGAACCATCATCAGCTGCTTCTCCAGGTATGCACTTGCTTTGATGTATTTGACTGCAGTTTATTAAATTTTAAATGAAAATGTCAATTTAATTATTAATAATTTCTAGCACCTCCTACACCACGCCGTAGAGGAAGACCAAGAAAAAATCCACAGGCAGAACTTCTTAAGCATATAAAAGGTATTTTTAATAATACATTCAAAAGTCTTTAATCTGGATTCGTCGGGACTTCGGCGATTCCGGATTATCGGTTTTTCCGGATTATAGATCATCAGTTTAAATCTGGTAAGATGGCATGCAGAAATTATAAAATTAAAAATATGAAACCATAATTTATGAAATAAAGAGCAATTATGATCTAAAGGGTATCAAAATTTACAAAAAAAAAAAAAAAAGAAAAAGAAAAGCTTATTATTTATTTGTTTACTTTATTAAACATTTCTTTCAACGCGTGCATGCATAAAGCATACATTATGCATAGTGGAAATTAGAAAATTGCAACCAGAAAACTATTTTATGTGCATTTTGTGATATTTATAATGAGGACGAAATTGATTAAAATCATATCAGAGTACTTCGAGAGGAAACACTACATTTAGTAAAGAATTATAAGCCAAATAAAATAAAAACATCTGCCCTGAAGATGAGGATAGTGCTGACAGATCAACTTCCAGTTCCTTGCGCGCTGCAACTCCCCCCCCCCCCCCCGGCAGAGCAGCGTGAAATTGATAAACAGATTTCGGAATGGTTAGAGAAACAAAGGATATGCCTTTATCCATTCTTTTGCAACAATTCCACTTTTTGTTTGATGGACATCGAAACATGCTTTCGCTTTGTAGATCCTTTGGTAGCTCCAGAATCAGAAGTTCTTTTTTGACATAATCGAAAGTTCAAGCTTACTTTTATAAAATTGCTCTAACAGACTGCAAAAAATAATAAGCCGGATCCAATTAGAAGATTAAGGAACAATGCAATCTGCAACATTAACTGAAATAGATAATTTGATAATTTTAGCTTTATACCGTCTGTTATACATTAAACGCGCATGCATAAACGTATTATGCGCAGCGCAGAAAGTTTGTAGCCTTGAGTCCGGATTATGGACACCCGGATTAAAGACTTTTGACTGTATTTATTTTTCATTTTACTTCTCGGTAACTTTTTTTGTGTAACCTTACACTAGATTCAAACTTTAAAAGTCTGAATTATAACTTCAGACTTAAAAAAAAAATATTTTGTAAGTTATATTTTGATATTAATATTCTTTTAGTCGAAGACATAAATCCAAAGGATGAAAACAGCAAAGATGGCACCCCAATTATTATGCGCCAAAATCGAAAGCGTAAAACAACAGAGATGGAAACAACAACTGAAATAAGCAGTGAAGTAAATAAAAGAGGAAGGCCTGTGCGGACATGCCGTATGCGTAAAGGTTAGTTTATATATTTTTTGCTACATTATCACAAAAATTTTATGCTGTCTTTTGATCTTGCTTTATATTTAACTAAAAATTATTATGATCATTTATTCAACTATTTGTACATGAGGTGATAAATATTTTATCTAGTTTCATATTAATCTTTCAAAATTGTATTATTTCATTATTCCATGGTGTATAACCCAGCAGCTTAATTTTGCAGTGAAAAATATTTTAATTAATCAGTCTTCCCCCCTTAACAAAGTTTTCCCCAGAATATTCTAAACTAGTTTACTAATAAGTTAAGGTAATTTTTTAATGATATTTCATGAAAAAAAAGAAAAAAATGTGCTTAAAATTAGGCGAAACAGCAACCTCAATTTCGCATAGATTTTAAGTAAAGTTGTATCAGTTTGAAGGGTGATGAAACATCCATCTCTCTTCTTCAGGAGTAAAAGGAAATTCTGCAAGAAAAGGGAGGAAAGATGATATATTTGTATCAAAAGCATTCGGTGGAGCGAAGCAAACAGGAACATAGTGTGCCATCTGTTGAGAAGAATAGTAATGAAATATGAAAAATTTAAATAAATGTGATTAACTAAACAAGATAAATTTTTGTTAATGTGAAAAGTTTTGAGGAAATCCAATTCACTGGCTGAAGAAGCTTGGTGGATAATTTTTGCAGAATTAAGTTTCGAACCATGATTAACTATTGAAAATTTGTTTATTCTCATTTTCAGATATAAGATTTATGTTCCTTGACACAAAATTTTAATGCTTTTTTAGTTTTGTTGGTGCTATAAATTCCCCAGGAACTGAAGTCAGGAATGGAACCTTTAAGAATTGAACAAAGAACTTTACTGACAGATGTGAAAATTATCTGAAAGTTGAACTTCTATAGAATTTTATAACTGATAGTAGGATAAAATGGAATAATGACAAAGTTATTAATGTTATTTATAACAGTCATGTCTATCTTCTTTTATGGTAAGATAAAAAAACTTTATCATTGATCATGGGAGAAAAGTCCTCTTTCAATGGCAACTTATTTCAAATAACTGAGTTTATTAGAAAGCAAAGATTATAGAAAGAACAAACTTCAGCAGCATAATATACATAAGAGGCCATTTTTTTGTTCAACAAGGTGACATGATTTAGCATAGGAAGCAAAGAAATAGAAAAAGATTTACAGTAAATCAGATTCATTGCAGATAATTAGAATATCAAAGAAAAAAAGCATTACCAGATTCAGTTCCAAAGGGAACTGGATGGCTGGACCATTCAAATTCATACCAGATAAAATCTGGGATACATCTTCTTTATTACCATCAAAAAACACAAATGTGTCATCTGCATAGGGAATCCAGAGCCAAAAAGATAATTTTTCAAATAATTTCATATCCAATATTTTTACAATGGTATATTTCTCTTCTTATTAGGAAATGCTTTTTTTTTTTTTTAAATCTGATATATGTACTGATTGAATAAGTATTACTAATCTCACTTGAAGTAGGTACTTCATGATTTGTTGGTTGCAGCCAGTATTACATCTTTCATTCACTTAATGGCATATGTACAGGGTGTGATTCAAAAGTTTCAAGACTTAACTCAGAACTAGAAATTTATTGGACACTTAAGTACAGCGGACTAAATTCTTCAAAATATGATCCTTCAGCATCAACACAGCGCGTCTTCCACTATTCGTAGCCCTTCTGGAAGGCCTCGGGCGTCATGCTGTCAAGGGCTCTCATCGATGCCTGCTGGATGGCGTCGATGGAGTCGAATCGATTCTCTTTTAGGCCTGTCTCGATTCGAGGGAAGAGGAAAAAGTCACTTGGAGCCAAGTTGGGGCTGTAGGGTGGCTGCGGCAGTGTTGTTACTTTGAACTTGACCAAAACTTCGGCGGCAGCGCACGACGTGTGAGCAGGCATGTTGTCGTGGTGGAGAATACGATTGCCAGGCAGACTTGATCCCTCAAGTGGCAGAGCACTCCAGCATAAAAGTCACATGTGACAGTCTGTCCATGAGCAACAAACTCCTTGTGAATCACTCTTTTTACCATAAAAAAATCAGCATGCATTTCACACGTGACTTGCTCATGCGAGCTTTCTTAGGCTTCGACGAGGAAGCAGTGTGCCATTCTAAACTTTGATGCTTCAACTCAATATCGTACTCTTAGACCCAGGTCTCATCACCAGTAGCCACTTTCTCCAAAAGGTTCAGATCACCATTCAACCGTTGGAGCATTTCCTGGCAAATAGTCATGCGCCGTTTTTTTTGATCCACCGACAAAACCTTTGGCACCAGTTTTTCACACACTTTTTGCATAATCAAATTCTCCATCACAATCCTCCACACCATACTCTGACTGAGTTCCAGTTCATCGGCAATTAATCTAGTACTAAGACGATGGTCATTGTTTAAAAGTTCCCACACTCTCTCCACATTTTGATCCGTTTGGCTTAATGATGGCCTCCCAGAGCAGTCGTCGTCTTCAACATTCCTGCAGCCATCTTTGAAATGTTTGTGCCACATGAAAACCATTGCACGGGACATGGCTTCTTCCTTAAAGGCCTCTTGAATCGTTGGTTATGTCAGTTTAGCTAAGATGGAGTAAAATGCATGAATGCAGTTATTCCATTCATGCAACTGTATCTTATATTTACATTTGTATTAAATGCTTTGCTTTTGAATTGTATTACAAGTTGCTTTTCCCCTGCATCTCTGCACCTTGTACTGATGATAATTTATTATTCCTCATTGTAAGAATGCTATCAGTTATTGTAATTTGTCATCCTTTCTAACATATGGAAAGATTTTAGACTGTGAAAACTTCCAAAATAGTCAAATGCATTTTTGTCGTGTTATGCTTTGTACTATATTGTACTTTCTTTAATCAGAGACAAATTCTCTTAGTTCTTTGAAGATAATTTTTAATTCGTCTTCTTGTAGAAGATTCCCATATTGTCTCTGAGGCAACATGTGCAAATAATGAAGAAGCAGAAGACTCTACGGATCCAGGTGCTGATATGGAAGAACTGGCCCGGAGAGAAGCTGAGTTACAGAGAAGGAGACTTGAACAGAAAGAAAAAGACATGGCTGAATGTTTTGGATTTAATGATGTAATTATTATCTTTTACGTGTTTATGCTTTAATGTAGATATAAATTGTTGTTTTTGTATCATCCATAATTTTTTTACATTGATGCTTAGGTTGTGTAAGTGTTATTTCTTTCCTTTATATAGAATGGAAAAAACATAAACAGTAGAAAAATTCAAGATAAGGATATGAACTATTTTATCTCGTAACCTTATAGTGTGCAAGATAAAATTTCATGCAATATTTATTAGAATGATATTCTCAAATTAAACTGCCTTTTTCTGCCCCCATGCCCAAGGATTTTATAATTCAGCAGGGACAATCAAATTTGGTATTGAGAAATTGAAACAGTTAGTTCATTCATTGTTCACTTCATCAGCTTTGCAGTATTTTGAATTTTCTAGTTCTTATTTCACAACTCAGTGTAAAACTGTAAATTGCTGACTTGTAAAAAAATATAATCACAAGCCAATGCTATAAAAAATACGAAAAAGATTAAAAGTAGTTTGATCCTTTAATTCGAATTTAACGAATCTAGAATGCCATAATCTAATACTCATACAGTAGAAACATAGCAAGTGATTTAAAATTTAAAAAATTTCCCCCTTTTCTTGCGATGAAGAATGCAGTATATGATTAGATGATCAGAAGTATCTGAGCACCATGACATGTTGGTTTTCATACAAGTAAGAAATTAATATTGCAGATTTTGATTTAGTTTTAATGATCTATTCATAAATTTTTTTAATGGTATAAATGCTAGTCTTGCAAAAGTGTAGCAGCCAGTTCTGTGAACAATGTGAATCACTGTGGCCTGGCTCGCAGCCATTATTGCAGTTCATTCTGTAGTGATCTGTAATCAGGAGTCTGGGTAGACCAGTATAATTTTTTTATGTCAGCAAACTACCTCCATATAGGTGCGCCTGATTGCTAAACGTTAAAAACCTAATTGTGCTGAAATAATGTGCCAACTCTTCCCGCAATGCTGGCAGCACTAAATTATGGAAAATACTAAGGTAGGTTTCTCCGTTCTTAGTTTTCTTCACAAGAACTTGGGAACTGAATCTAAATCTATAAAATTAAGCTTTTTCCAGATTATTTTTAAACTTCACATTAAATGATTTTATTCACTTTTTTAGGTTTTTATATTTAATATAAGTACATAACATTTTCTCTGTTTGATTGCATGTTAAATGTCTATTTTAATGTCTCTTGTGTTCAATGAATTTTATTATTGATCTTGAATGATTTGTTCATTCAGATTCAAGTATGTACGTGAACATACTTATATCCATATGTAATAAAGAATTTTTGAAGTAAAAATGAACAAAGCTAAATTTAAATTCCCTTTTCTGGAAAGCAAGAAAAGAAAAAAAACATTTTTTTTTCCATCTTTCGATCAAAAGCAAAAAAAAAAAAAAAAGAAAAGAAAAGAAAAAGAAAAAAAAGAAAATTGATTTTTTTAGTATGTTAGAGATGAAAAATGTAGAGAAATACCTTTGTAGTATAAATATATGACTAGCTAGGAATATCAGTTGTGATTATAGTAGATGTTGGAGCACATATAGAGGATTTGTAATGAAGAATATAATCGGAAGTCATATAGATGTAAGAAGACACAGTCAAAACAGATTTAAATTATATTCCTTTTATTGTATCTAAATATTTTTGGCCACAAATATTTTAGCAAACTAATCTTGCCTGTGTACGAAAAGAAGAAAGCAGCACATCATCAGGCTAGCTAGGATGAGGTGCAGAAGCAGATTATGATGTGTTCTGGAAGAAATCTTATTTCAGAGGGAATTAGCTTCAGTTTCAATACCATTTGATTGGATAGTTAAAAATCTCTAAAATTATTGCCTAAAGTCTTATGTGAGTTGTTTGTATTAGAGCAAAGTCATATGGATTAATTCAGAAATGACCTAGTACAGAGAAAGTTATATTATAAGATATTGTTTTTAGAATAGAGCAGAGAAATCAAATATTTAAGTTAAATTAGCAGTAGTCCATAATTCTACATTTTAATTTGGGCATTCCCCTTCCCTGTTCTAAAAATAGTAATTGCATATGGTGGACTGTGTGGACAGTGTCATTTCTGGATTAATCCATAGTATATATCTTTTACATAATGCTGTGCTGAAAACAACTTACATAAGCCTTCAACCAAAAAAAAGTTTAGAGCTTTATTAAATGTCCAATAAAATTTTATTGAAGCCAAAACTCGCTCTGAATTAAGATTTCTTCTGAACGCATTGCAGTTCGCTTCTGCAGTCATGAGAGTGGTTTTGTAAGATAAAAAACATGTAAACCAAAATTACACTGCTGGCCACCATAAATGCAACACCCTGAAGGAAGCATGCAAATAACATGAAATTTACAACATGCATTAGCGGAGGTGAGATATGCAAACGATTAGAATTTCAGTGCAGATGCACATCACGTGCGCCTGTGGCGCCACTTCAAAGTGCTATTTAAGGCGTGGAGTTTTCGACGATTTTCAAGTTCGGCAATTGAGTTTTTCTTGCGGTTTTTTTCAAAAAAAAAAAAAAAAAAAAAAATCAGTTATTCCTTGTAGTAAACAGTGATCATCGTTTGATCAGGTATGAGTTCAACAGAGGAAGGATAATGGCCTATCGAGAGTGTGGATTATCTTTCAAGGAAATTGGTAGTCGTGTTGGACAAAACCAAATAACTGTAATGCGGATATGTGACCGTTAAATGCAGGAGGGTACGACGGACCGACGTGGTCGATCGCATCCACTTCAGTGCATCACTTCAACACTTGATGACAGGAACATTGTGCACATGGCAGTGACAGATCGCTCAGTCAACACATCATCCAGTGTTTGCACGTACCATTCAATGCCATTTACAGCAGAGGGGTCTGTTCGCAAGACGTCCATTCCTTCGTCTACCCTTGACACAGAACCACAGACGTCTCCGCCACCAATGGTGTGATGAAAAAAGATGTGGACGGCAGAATGGAATGAAAATGTCTTTATTGATGAATCACGCTTCTGTCTGCAACACTTTTGATGGTTGGATTCGAGTCTGGAGACACCGTGGAGAGAGGATGCTGAATAGCTGCATTATGCATCGCCACACTGATCCTGCACCGTGTATTGTGGTATGGGGCGGTATTGGATATTACTCTCGCACTCCACTAGTACGCATTCCCGGTACTTTAAACAGCCAGCGCTACATCTCCGAGGTGTTGGAGCCAGTTGTATTTTCTTACCTTCAGGGCTTGCCCACAGCCATATTTCAACAGGATAATGCACTACCACACGTGGCACGCATTATCCAAGGGTTCTTCGTCAATCGCCAGATTGAATTGCTTGCCTGGCCGGCTCGCTCTCCGGATCTTTTGCCGATAGAAAACATGTGGCCCATGGTTGCTGAACGATTGACCCAGATTACATCCCAAGCGGCCACACCAGATTAACTTTGGCAACGTGTGGAAGCTGCTTGGTCTGCTGTTCCCGAAGAACACATCCAAAGTCTCTTTGAACCGAGGTGTGTGGCAGCGGTGATCTCCAACAATGGGCTCTGACTACTGATTCTGGAATGAACCACACTTCACAGAAGTCTATAAATTTAATCATTTGATACTTGGTCAACATGTTATCTACTAAATAAATTTTGTTGTGGTATCTCTTGTCCTTCTTGGTGTTGCAAATTGGGTGGCCAGCAGTGTATATAATGACTACAACACTGCATCCTTCTAACAACTTTACGATGACTTGTGTCCTTGGTATCAGTTTATGTAACAATTAGAATGAATTCCCTTATAGTTAAGAATTTTTCGGAAAGTAGTTTGTATCCTTAATTATTAGAATAGTACCAAATGTACAGAAAAAGTGAAAGTGCATACAGTATCCACAAAACATTTCTTCCCTATAGGTGATCAGCAATACTGAAATACAATAAGAAATGGAAACTATCAGATTTTCAACAAACTGTTACTATATGAGCATGCAGTTCCTGAAACAAGAATGAATTATTTTCCGTGTATTCTGAGCAACATATGTCAGGAATAGGTTACATTACGTGAACTAGTTAACGGATCAGTTATGGATCAGTTTACGTTGCCTTACTAGGTTTATGAAATATGCATGAAAAGTGATGAAGTATATTTTAATCTTTTTGTCGTTAACATATTTATTTATAGTAAGACCCAAAATCTTCTTCTTCCGATGATTGTATTCGAAACTTAGTCGTTTACTAAATCGTTACTAAATTTTATTGATTTAAAGTTTTACAAATTGTAAAAAACATAAATAAACAAATTTGAATTTAAAATTCGTGCTTCCAGGTGATCATGTTTCGGGTGGAGGATTATGTTATTCAAAACTGAATGGCTCTAGGTACTGTCTTTTTTTTCCCAATGCAAGAAACATACATACATTCGTGAGGATTCTTCCCTATTTAATTTATTTAAATAAAATATAGGGTGATAATGTTTGGTGGCAACAATTTAAAAAGTGATACGCCATTTAAAGTGAACCTACGCAAAATGTCGTCTTTCGAGACTAATACCTAAGGAGGAGCTAAGACTCCTTTGGGCTAAAAAACGGAATATACCGTAGAAAGCAAAAAAAATAAATAAATAAATAAATAAATTCCTGTGCCAAGTTGAGGCATCATCATGCAGTGTATGCGCGTACCCTTCGACGCCGTTTACAGCAGAGTGGTCTGTCCGTAAGATGTGCATTGCTTCGTCTACCCTTGATGCAGAACCAATGACTTCTCCTCCGCCAATGGTGCGATGAAAGAAGGATTTGGACGGCAGAATGGAATGAAATTGTCTTTACTGACGAGTCACGCTTCTGTCTGCAACACCACGATGGTCGGATTCGAGTCTGGAGACACCGTGGAGAGAGGATGCTGAAGAGCTGTGTTATGCACCACCACACTGGTCCAGCACCAGGTATTCTGGTATGGGGCGGCATTGGATATCACTCTCGCACTCCTCTAGTTCGCATTGCCGGTACTTTAAACAGCCAGCGCTGCATCTCCGAGGTGTTGGAACCAGTTTTCCTTTCTTACCTTCAGGGCTTGCCCACAGCCATATTTCAACAGGATAATGTGCGACCACATGGGCACGCATTGTCCAAGGGTTCTTCATCAATTGCCAGATTGAATTGCTTCCCTGGCTGGCTCGCTCTCCGGATCTTTTGCCGATAGAAAACATGTGGTCCATGGTTTCTGAATGATTGGCTCAAATTACATCCCAAGCTGCCACACCAGATCAACTTTGGCAACGTGTGGAAGTTGCTTGGTCTGCTGTACCCCAAGAACACTCTTTGAATTAATGCCAAGGCATGTGGCAACGGTGATCTCCAACAATGGGGGCGGCTACTCTGGCTACTGATTCTGGAAGGAACCACACTTCACAGAAGTCTATAAATTTAATCATTTGATACTCAGTCAACATGTTATCTACTAAATAAATTTTGTTGCAATATCTCTTTTCTTTCTCGGTTTTGCAATTTGGGTGGCCAGCAGTGTATAATTTAAAATTAAGAGACCCTAAATTTAATTTGGGTATTTTCCCTATCTCTTCTAAAAATAGTAATTGTGTAAGATAGCTTTCTTTGGACTGCATCATTTCTGTATTAATCCATATCATATGACTTTTACATATTACTGTGACAAAAAAAATTTTAATAAGCCTTCAACCAATGATAATGTTAGAGATTTATTAATTACTTAATAGCATTGGAACTGAAACTCAGTCTGAATCAAGATTGTGTCTTGAACACATCACACGTTGCTTCCGTGCCTCGCCCTTACTAGATTGCTCATTTTTCTTTTCACAACAGTCTTGTAAGTGTTATGTTCTGGAATGAGCACGATTAGTGTGCAAAGGCATTTGTGGCTGTGAAATGTTTAACTGCAATAAAAGGAATATAATTTAAATCTGCTGTGACTGTGTCTTCTTCTGTTGACATGACTTTCAGATTTACTCTTTATTACACATCTTCTGTCTGTGCTTAAACATATATTATAATTGCAATCATCACCATTCACAAATCATCACAAAGAATCGCTGCACATTCATGCATACATTTAAAATTGTTCTCTTTGTGTATGTGAAAATGTAAAATTTTTATTGACTAAATTTGTAAGACCTAACTTGAATATGCAAGTTATTAGTCGTAATTTTTTGGGATATTTGAATTTTCATGTTTATATCAAAAGTATGTAATATTGAAGAATAATTGTGGGCCACAATTCATAATTAATAACTTTGATATATTTATTTAATGCTAAAGGTAAATTACCTTATATAAGGAGTGGAGGTTTTTATTTGCTATTGTATTTGTATCCTGCAGTCATCGGCAAGTAATTATGCTGATTTGCTTGTAGAGGACTTGCCCATTTTAGAGCTTATTTAAATAAACTTTAAAAGTTTATTTTGTTCTTTACTGTATTTTATTACTTTTTTATATGTATTAATTTCTAAAATCCATTGCTTTACAATAAGAAAATGTGGATTGTTTTATAATGAGTAAATAACTATTTTTAATGTAATTTCGTGGATATGTATAAGACATTTTTTGGTCTTATATTGAATACAATACTTTTACTCACGATTTTCAAGAATTGTGAACTTTTACAATTAATCCTTGAAATATTTAGAACCCAAATTTAGAACAGTCCTTTATGATATTTGGAGAGAAAATGAACTCACAAACTTCTAAATTCAAAATATATGTTTAATTTCAATATTATGTAATGTTATGTTTTTTTATCACTTCTAAATTACATTTTTATGTATCATTTAGTATGTGTAATATATGAGAGAGTTGAACAAAATGGCAGGACATAGTGAAGCCTAAAGGAACCTTGAGGAAAAAAATTTTCTCATTTTTGTCATTATATTATATAGAATCTTTATGTTCATTTGCTTTAATGCTCATATGCTTTAATGCCTTTTCGTAAAAGTTTTTTTTTTTTTTTTTTTTTTTTTTATTGAGTCCTTTTTCTCTTTGGAGGTTGAGGGGGGGTGTAAATAAGGTATAAAATAATATGAAAGCAAACTACTGGCTTTAATTTTGCAGTATCCCATCTAGTCTTCATTTTAATTTGGGTACTTCCAGTCTGTCCTAAAAATAGTAGCTATTTATAGCATATCAACCTAAAATTTTGAAATTAATCTATGTAATAAGACCTTACATAACACTACAAAGTAGATGCCTTTTCTCCAATCTCTAAATAAGAATTCAATTGAGAATCAAAACATTTTGACTTTCCCGTGCTTCTACTGGAGGCTTAGCCACTGTTATGCTTCTCTTGCTTTGTGCTAAGATAGCACTGCTTACTTCTTTCTCTCTGTCCTCCACTTTATGTCTTAAGATGTAATTTTCATTCAAAGAACGTTATGAAGATTGGCTGCAGATTGCACTCATGTTAATATGTGAATCAGAACATGCATCCCAAGAGCTACACCCAGTAATAAAATTATGTGAATCTACGGTTGCATCTGTCTACAAGTTTCATCACTCTATTTATGCAATAAACCTTTCTAATTCATTACAGCTACAGTACAAAGTCTTTAATCCGGACTCGTCGGGACTTCGGATTAGGGGTTTGCCCAGATTATAGATCAATTTAAATCTAGTAAGATGGCATGCAGAAATTATAAAATTAAAAATATGAAACCGTAATTTATGAAATACAGAGCAGTTATGATATAAAGGGAATCAAAATTTACAAAAAAAAAAAAAAAAAAAAAAAAAAAGCTTAATATTTATTTGTTTACTTTATTAAGCATTTCTTTCAATGTAAGTTGTTTAAGTTGCTTCGTTTTTTATGCCAATACTTTCCCTTTATGAAACATTTCCACTCTTCAAGTCCTGTAATTGCTGTGTCGGGAATACTGACTAACTTGTCAATTGAAATGTTTTCGTTTTCGATAACCTCTCTGTCACTTTCTTCACTATTGGAAGCGGTACATCAAAACATGCTTTTGCTTTGTAGATCCTTTAGCAGCTCCAGAATTGGAAACTCTTTTTGACATAATCAAGAGTTCAAGCTTACTTTTTATAAAATTGCTCTAACAATCTGCAAAAAATAATAAGCCGGATCCAATTAGAAGATTAAGGAACAACGCAATCTGTAACATTAACTGAAATAGATAATTAGGTAATTTTAGCCTAGCTTATACCGTCCGTTATACATTAAATGCGCATGCGTAAATGCATTTAATAGTGTGCAGAAAGTTTATAGCTTTGCGGTCCGGATTATAGATCATTCCGGATTAAAGACTTTGTATTGTATATCTAAAAACTCTATTATTTATATAGAATTTTTATATAAATTGTATCATATATATATTTCTAGATTAAAAACTTATAATATGTTTTACATTTTATCATCATTTTTAATCAGCATTTGGTATGAGGGAGTTTTTAGATTATCTCTGTTTACTCATTATCTGTACATTAGTTAACACAGATTGGTGGTCTTCAAACTGTGTTCCGTAGAATCCTGGGTTTCGTGAATCAAAATAAAAATTCAAAAAGGAAATTATATAGCACTCACACTAGTTTAAAAGCAGTTATTAACTAAAAAATATAAAGATACATTTAGTTACAGATTAGTTTTAAAACTTAACATGTGGTTGTCACATGTCACACCTTTTTCAATTGAAGAAAACTATAAACAAATATTTTTCCAAATAAAAAATTAAATATTACAGGATAAAAAAAATCCATTCAAGCTACCATAAATAAGAAAGCTTGCCAATGAAAGAAATGGAACAAACTATTGATATATCAACAGATTTGACGTTAAAATCTAAATTTTGACAAAAGCAGCTTTAAAATTTTCGGTTGTAGATTCATGCAGAATACCCAGAAATTTCTTGCACAGCTAATCGTATTTTAGTGCCATTCATAACAAAATATTTATTGAAACATTTTTCTCAATGTATGTGGTAACAAAAACGAAATATAGAAAATTAAATGCAGGATATGAATTGCAACTGCAAATAACACAGTAGAGCTGGATTTGGACAGTTTGTGTGAAAAAATGCAAACACACCTCTGTCACTAAATATAATGAAATAGTAGGTGATACATGGAACACAAGTTAATGCTAAACTACATTAATTTTAATTTAATAAAAAATACAATGCTTTTCTTTTAATTTTCTTTTCATAAAGTATGTATAACATATTGATCTGCTTTAAATATTATTTTTCTAAGATGGGGTTGTGTGAGTCGGCAAAGTTTGAAGACTACTGGCATAGATAATTGGGAAAATATATTAAAAATTTATGTTAAGCATAAAACTTTATTGTTTGTTTATTTATCTATTCCTCCCCCCTCCCCAGGATGAAGAAGAAACTGAAACCATCCTAGCGATGCCAGCTGTGCCTGGATCTCAGCCCCTTGTGGTGATGGAAGATGGTACTTTACTTAGTAACCTTCCCAATCACAATGGAGCTTTAGCGGAAACAACATAACATCTGTGACTTTCTGTGTTTCATGAATGTCCTAAGCACAATCTGCTGTCTGTAGTTGCAGGCATCATTATGCTGTGAGCTACATCTGTCACTTTGCTGGCCTATTAAATTCACAGGTGGGAGATTTCCAGGCATTAATTGCTTGTCTTCTCTTTTATGAATTGTTCTTTGTAAGCATTTTGCCTGCAAATTGGCAGAGAACTTGTGTAAATGTATTTGTGAGAAGCAGCATTCTCTACAGTTCATGTTGTTGAAATGCTGCACTTACAAGGATGCAATTTGTGTGTCTACTTTTATATTTAGAAACTCTTATAATTATTTTGATAATTAGGACCTATCTGAAGATGAATATTGATTCCTGATCACAAAGTTTTTTTTAACTTAAAAATTTTTAATCTTTTGACTGAGATTATTTTAATTAGAAGCACATATTTTCATTTGAGCACTCTAAAAGAATTTAAATTATTTATATGCACTAAAGGTAAGAAAATTAGTGGTGTATATAGCTCAATTACAGCAGAAATCAACTTCTTGGAAACATATTTTCATTACTATATACCTTTCACGAATACCTGTATTTATAAACAACATATAAATTGTGGTTGGAATGACTATGAAGTTAACATAAAATGTTAAAACACATTACATTCAATAATTTAAATATGTGACTATTGATGACAATTAGTGGAGAGTAAATTTATCAGAAAGTGAAAGACAAGCTAAACTAGAAAATCTTTGTTTTACATTTTCAGTTTTTTTTTTTTTTTTTTTTTTTTTTTTTTTAGGAGAGGTATTTCTCTCAAGAAAAATATGTCAGGGTATTTCTTGATATCTTCTTGAATGCTAGCAATAAGTCTAATTTGCAAATTGTATATATGATTGTTAACATTGCAGTCATATTCACAGTCCATGTATTATTAATATTAAATTGCATATAATAATTTATAGTTGTAATATTGAAGGATCATTATATAAAGCCATCTGTGAGAAACACCATAAATAAGACTTTGTAGTTGAAGAAATCAGAATGGTAATTTACATTTTTTAATCAGTAATTTATAATCAAATAGAATAGAGAATAACTGGTAATCTGTGCAACAGTTTTCATATAAAAATAAAATTATAAATGAAGCAGGTAATGCAAATATGTATTACGTGCAAAAGTAATATTTATGTAATTATAATCATATTTGTCTAATATTATAAGAAAATATATATTTCACTATTTTTATGTAGTACAAAATGAAAACCATCATCTCATAAATTGTACTTTTGCCAAAACAATAATACACCTTTTAGCAGTATTGACATTAGCAGGTATATAATAAAACAACAGAACTATATCAAAAATGAAAAAAAAATAAGAAATAATGCTAAAATATGGAGTATATTATTTTGGGGATGGTATGTTTACAAACATATCTGATTATTTATCTTTATTGTTTGTTTTTTACCTGTGTTAAAGTTACCTTTTTAATTGATGACTGTTTGCTTTTGGAATAACATTGAAGAGGAGATGTTATGTTGTGTTCATTCTTCCAAATTAAATGATATTTAAGGATTATAAAATTAGATTAAGGAAACAATTTCCTTATATGTATATACAAAATTCTTGCGACTACTGTTTTATTTAATTTTTGCATGTGTAACAAATTACACGTTTTTAACGTTTTCAAATTGCTTATCAGGTTAAGCCTACACAATATTAATGTATTATTCTGTATATAGTACTGTAAACTTCTAAAAAAAAAAGAAAGAAAGAAAGAAAGAAATTGTATGCTTAAAATAGCAGTAGTCTTATTTAATATTTTTATTTCTTAATGGAATGAGGAATTTTCGTATGTAAATAAGAAATTGCATTATTCAGATATAAATAGTTATTTCATGCTTTTTGATAATTATAAACATATAAATTTTGTGATAAACTGCATGATATTCAAGTGTGCATAACCTTTTCAAAATAAAGTGTTTGCATACAATTGGAAAACTGTATTTATTTCATATAATGGTTATATTTCTGACAATTTATGTGAACTTAGTGACTATAAATTGCTCTTTATCTCTTATTTGGTATTGCCAATAGAATACATTCAAATGTTTGCATTAGATAAAATGTATAATTTATTTCTTATAAATACCACTGTTTCATTAAATACAAATATTTAATTTAAACTTTTGAATAAGTTTTAAGTTACTGTTTTAAGTAACTGTTGTTTTATTATTATATAAATATTGAATTAAAGTGAAAACATGTACTAATGCGAGTTTTACAATTTTACTACTTTTTCTATTAAAAAAGCAGTAGTTTAAGCTTACTATGTAATAATCTAATTATCAGTGATATAAGCAATATAAATTGAAAAACTGGTGTATTTTTTATAAATTTTTTTTTAAAAAAAAAAAAGGATTATTTTTTTTAATTTTCATAATTGAAATCTAACTGTATTGTAACATTCCACCCATTAGGACCTAGGCACTATAATTTTTAACACTATTTTAGATTTGTACTTGTGTTTATACTTAAAAATAATAGATGAAAACTATTTATTTATTGATCTCCCCTCAAAGTGATGTGATTGCAGCAGATGATGTCTTTTTCTAATATATGGGGTATCCTGTGGTATATTTAATTTATGTAGTTCATCATCTATTGATGTTCCCACAGACTATCCAGACGCAAATGTGTCTTCCCTTCTGTTTTCTGAAGGGCCACATTTCAATTTGATGTAGCCAGTGATTTGTGCATGTAAATTGAATAATAAAATATCTTTTCACATTATGAATTTATACACTTGAGTGTTTTTTAATTCAATTATCAAAAAATTGTGATCAAATTTATTTAAACACTTTTAATTAACAAGAGTTCTTGTTAATTAAAAGAACTTCTGGTATCTGTTAATTGGGATGTTAACAGTCTTGTGGTATCTGTTAACTGGGATGCCACTGCAAGGACAAATGCTTGGATATCAGTCTTGTGACAAATGTTTAGTCTTTATATTATATGTCTTAAAATACTTACACTGCCCCCCCCCAAAAAAAGAGAATTCAGCCAAGAACAGACGTCTGGAGATAGGCAGATACACAGTTATTCCCGAGGAAATTGGATCTGTACATTTTCCTGCAAAGAAGTTCTTTATATCTTTAATCTGATGAGTGCTGGCTAGATCCCAGCCTAGGAAACATCCATCACAAAATAAATCATTGCATTAAATGAGCCTGTTTCATTATAGTTGCTTTGCTTCTGTGTACTAGGCCTTTTTCGGTTTCAGGAAAATAAATGCCTGTAAATGTTCAATCTTACCTTTTTTACCCTTGTGGTACTTATAGGATAAGCTCTCTTTTCATTTAAACAAATTGTCGAAACGCAAGTAACATGTGCATTCTCATAGCCAGTGGATGAAATAGATTGATAAGGCACCCCTCTGATAATTTTCATTCGAGATCTCTGCAGTGATCATTCACTGGAGAGTTAATTTAAAAAAAGATGATGCCGTCAATGAAAGACTTGAATGCATGTGCATGGTTAAAAACTTATTATCCTCCAAGTTGAATATAATCTTAGAGAATTAATATTGCTCGATGATGCAGTCTTCTGCTTAACTGGGATGCCATGCAAGGACAAATGCTTGGATATCAGTCTTGTGACAATCGGAACCTTCACAAGTAATGTCTTCCATTTCAGGAAATAATAGTTGGCAACTCAATCCAAACTTGCACTTCCTAGTATTTCGCTCTCCATCTAGTGATTGTCATATTATCCTATTCTACTATTTTTAGACAATTTTTAGTTCAAAGATCCAGTTTATGCTTTTTGCAGAAACCAAGATTCTTGCCTCAGTGTCTTCCATGGTTTCTTTCTGGTACTCAATGAAATTCTTTCCCCTGCCCCCCATCTATCAACTTTGCAAACAAAATGTTATTTCCTTTAATTTATAATTAAGTGTTAACTGATAATTTATGAAATTTGTCTTGTGGCAATAAAAATTATGAAGAATAATGAACCACATAAAAGTAATAGAAAGTTGCAGGTATAAAAATGTCTTGGATAATGATATTCATGAATAAAACTTTGCTGGAATAAGTTTTTGGACTGTATGCCTATTTGCTGTCTACGTTCATTCATTTATAAATGCATTTCCACCAATAATTATTAACACTTCAGAGGGCTATTATTTTCATTTTGCAAATAGATCTTGTTCTTTGCAAGATCAAAAACATAAAACTAAATTGTTGTATTGACAAAGCGTAAAATCTAAAACATAGACTTCAATGTCAGCAAATGTAATACTTACATAGACATTTCCAGAATTTGGCCATGTTTTTGTTCCTGTTCACTGCAATCCAATATCAGAGATTCCATAAGCTTCCAAGTTATCAATTTTTTCATGAACCTCAATAAATTTTGAAATCCAGTATATTCCATCACAGTTAGAATATTTTCCCTATGAGTACTGCTGTAATGATTGCAGTGGCAGTAGCAAGAACCCAGTATTAACAAGAAAGCGAAAATAAATTTTAAGTTTCTCAGTTTGACTTTATGAATTCATATACAGTTCATTACCATCAGTTATTAACACGATATATTCAATTCTTCCAAAGCTAGTTTAAGTATTGCATAGTCATTTACATAGCATTTCTTAGAACATAATACTGCAACTGTAGAAAGATGCTGTACATTATAAAATGAAATTTGTATAACAGTAAATATATATAAATTTATTGTTATATAAATTTGCCATATAACAATATGCATCAAGACAATTATTTTAAGACTGTATCACAATAAATCTGATTTAAAAGTGTAATAAGTACTGTGGTATTACAAAGATGGGAAATCTTAGGAACTAAATGCCAATCTTGGAATAGAAAGGTATGATATTTCATTTCAAAGGAGATGTATTTTTCCCCATCTGTGGGAAGACAAAAGTCAACATCAAAATTTGAAGCATACATTCATATTATAGGACACACATGCTTGAAATGACATGGGGTTTTGTTGAGCGAAAAAAGTCAACATATGGTACTGGGCAGCAAAATGTCAGTGATGTCGCACGAGAATCGTGTATGAGAAATGACTGTCAATTTTCTATCCTCGCCTTTGGGTGTTGGTCATGGTGTGATGTGGATTTATCACATCAATCCTGATCAGATTCTTTTTGTTCGACGAAACGCATGTTCTGCTGTACAAACTGTCACTGTGATGGGTGTGAGTTACGCTGATATGATACAGAATCCCATCATCCATAGTCTAGCTAAGAAAGATCTGTTGAAAGGTATGATTTTTACTAGGCAATGGTTGAAAGGTATGATTTTTACATGTAGCAATATGGGGTAGGATGGCACTCTACCCTATATTGCTACATGTATGAAAGATCTCTTGCACACATCGTTTGGTGAGGATCGAATGCTGAGCCGCCACTTCCGTCATGCTTGATTTCTCAGGTCCCCAGATTTCAATCCATGTGATTATTGGTTGTGAGGTTACCTGAATTCCAAGTCTACCATGATTGTCCAACCTCACATGGGATACTAAAAGAAAACATCATACGAAATTTCTCACCATACCTACAGATATTTTATACAGTGCTGTTCACAACATTGTCCTTTGACTAAAAGTATTGTTGATAAATGATAGCCGACATGTTGAACATTTGTTATAAAGAACATAGCCTTGGCTAAAAATAAATTATTATGCTAATTATTGCTTTTGTTATCATATGAAGTGCCATCTGATGGCCGTTTTAAGCACTTTTACTTTCAGTCAAACCCAACACCTTTCAAGCATGCATGTCAGTTATTACCACTCTAACTACATTATTCAGTGAATTATTAATTTTCAAATGTTAACAGACTTTTGGGTCACCCCATATATGTATACATACTTCAAATAATAAATTATTCAGTCTACATTTAATCATTCTTATTTTTGAAAAAACATGAAATAAAAATGTAGGCCTTTTTAATATCTAACAATAAAGATCTGAAGCATGAGATTTTATTTAAATATAGCATGCATAAGTGATTAACTGTTTCCAAATAAAGCCATAACAAGAATCTTCTTGAAAGTAAGCTGGGTAAATAAAGAAGCATACAATGGAGACAATAGCATCACAAAAACAACTCATTATTGGATATTCAAGTTTTCACTATTAAAAAGAAAACTAAATATATTTGTAAAATATCAGAAAAAAATACCATTGTATAGGGATAGTTATAGGATGCACTTTAAACAATGTATGAACATTTTATATAGATTATATTCAATATGGCCACTGTTTTATGAGGGATGCCTTAATAGAGAACTCTTACGACTTACCCGTTTTCATGTTACGCAGGAAAAAAAAACTAAGATTTTAACATGTGTAAGATAAATACGAGTCATTTTTGTTAAAAAGCATTCCATGAAAGGAACAGACAAATCCTTTTAGGCTTTGTTGTGTTTATATAAACAAATAAACCAAAATTTAGAACAACTTTATTATGCTTCATTTTAAATATCAGTTAAATTATGTCAAATTTGATGTCATGATTTAAGATCAAATTTGATGACAAAATTAGTCACGAAAACCGTTGTCAGCTTGGCGATATCTTGCAAAATTACCGAGATACACATTTACTCAATGTTAAATAGAACTGCCGTTGTATTCTTATTTTTCCGGCAAGCTTTCCTCCTTTAGATTTTCATGTTATATTATACAAAAGAAAAATACAACAATTTCGCATATAATTTTACTAAAATCATCTATCCATGTACAAAATTCGCAACAATATTAACCCATCTTGAAATCTTAAATGTTGTAATAATTAAAGCATTGCATTTTCAGAAATGACAACTAATTCATGAAATTTTACTGAGCGCCTCACCATTTATATATATATATATATATACACTGACTACCAATAAGTATTTGGACACCTATGCAAATGACGATATCTGCAGTCCTAAGGTACGTCACGGACTCCGCCGGTATATATCGTGTATTAAACAGCATCGGCTTTAGTCACATGCAAGATGCCTCGCAGTTCGGAGCTCTCTGATTTCGAGAAAGGTATAATTATCGGGTATCACAAATGTGGCCAATCCTTAAGGGACATATCTAGCAATCTGAAGTACCCAAAATCGACAGTGGCCTATGTGATTGAGAAGTGGAAGGTGAGCTGTGATTGTCGGAATGTGCCCCGAGTCAGCAGACCAACGAAACTGGGTGATAGAGACCGATGAGTGCTGTCCAGAGAAATTCGGAAGAACCACACCCAACCGATGGCCCTCATCCGCGAGGAGTTTCAACAGGCATCCGGGAGTATTGTTTCAATGAATACCATCCGTAAGGAAACATATCTGCTTGGTTTTCATGGTCGTACTGCTGCCCATAAGCCTTTGATCACAAAGTCCAACCACGCTGCTCGGTTAATGTGGTGCAAAGCACATCGAAATTGGACCGTAGATCAGTGGAAACGGGTTCTTTGGAGTGACGAATCAAGGTTCACCCTTTACCGTTCGGATGGCAGGGTCTGGGTCTGCCGTGTACCTGGATAACGTCTCCTGCCAGAATGCATTGTTCCAACAGTCAAGTTTGGCGGAGGTGGAATTATGGTCTGAAGGTGTTTCTTCTGGTATGGGCTGGGACCCTTGGTCCCCATTCATGGTAAGCTCAACTCCGATGCCTACTGCACTATTTTGGATTACAATGTGCTTCCTACGTCGTGGCAGTTTTACGGGTTGGACCCATTACTTTCAGGACGACAATGCCAGTTGTCATGTTTCGACGTTAACCAAGGCTTGGTATGGTGCCAATGGAGTTCATCGAATGGACTGGCCTGCCTAGAGTCCAGACCTGAACCCTATCGAGAACCTCTGGGACGAGTTGCATCGCCGAATTCAGGGGTGCACTATCCGTGATCGGTGAAGGAATCCGTGATCCGTGATCGGTGAAAATCGGTGAAGGAACTTTTATGTCTTCTCCAAGCTGAGTGGAAGAAAATACCACTAGCTGTCATACAAAGACTTGTGGAAAGTATGCCCTGGAGGGTCCATGCTGTAATTACCTCTCCTGGAGGCTCTACCAACTATTGATTTTGAATATAGTTTTTCTTTTCTATGACAGGTGTCCAAATACTTATTGGTAGTCAGTGTATAATATTTTTCATCTCATGTTGACTTCCACAGCATTATAGTTTAATATGCTGAAAAAATATTTTTGTGAAAAAATTATACATTTATTTCTGAAAGAACAGGGTTACTACATATTGAGGCTTCCTCTTTGTTTCAATTTATAAGGATGGCAAAATTTATTTAATTTAGGAAATGCTTCAGACTAACTTGTTGATATAAAATGCTTTATTTATAAAAGTACATTTTAATCACTACAGGATACTAAAACAAGCCTGTTCCATACAAAATGACATATTCACAAAGATTTGGGAAAATAAATATAAATATGATAATGAAAATTTTCATCTTCTTTGAGACAATGAAAAATACTCATGATCCAGTGGGAGAATCACAAACTCGCAGGACTGGACCTGTTTCAAGAAATTCTCGTAGTTCTGTATCTAAGTCCTGATTCCGAAGCCTGTCATCTGCAGAGACATCTGGAGGAGAACTATGATCAAGCACTGTTTCATCACGCAATGAGCTATCATTAACTGTCCTATCATTCTCTATATTTCGTCCAGTCAAATCACTTTTCTTCGAGCCTTTTGTATTACCTGCAGTGTTGTGTCCAGATGTAGGGCAATAGGTTATTCCCATGGCTTTTCTAAGTCCTTCAACACTAACTATATTTTCTGGTGGAAGCTAAAAAAATAGCATGTAAGTTAATGCACATCAACCAATAAATAGTTCAAAAAGTAAAATTATTAAGATTTAGAATGAAAACTATAAACAGAGTGTTTTCCAAAGATGGTTTCTTGGAAGTGAGGAAGAGTGGCTCATGGAGCCATTCTATATTTAACTCATTATAATGAATATTCCACTACATACAAATTTTTATCTACAAGGAGCATACAAAAATTTAGCAATATTTACACAACCTTTTCCGTACATAACAGTAGAACTATTTTCATGAATTTCATGCCATTAGATTCTTTCGAATCTAAATGGCAGCATCACCCTATGAATGCTCAATATTTTTCAGTTATGAAATTAATATACCTCGTTCCAAGGTCTCATGTTGGAAGATTGATAAATTCTATTGGAGGGGAAAGAAAAAATTCAAAATCTGCGAATATATGACGTACACATGCTGAATCTTATATATTTACTTCATTTCAGTCAAAAGTGATAATTAACAGAAGATTATTTATACGATTTTAAAACCGGTATATAGCGCCCACACTGAGGGTATCACGCCAATAGATGGCAGCACCACTCTTCTCCTTTTCTACTCTGTGACATGACAGAATTTCTGTATTATAACAGTTTATGATGTAATAATTTTTCATGATTAATTTATAAGTCATTTAGGATTAAATATTTTTTCATGGGGAGTTTACTGACCCTGCGCCAGACTAAATACAAGTATATTAGTTTCATTTATTCTTTGTGTACTCAGCTCAAGTTTCATTCATCTGTGTTTAGCTAAAATTTTTATTTCAGCACTTATCCCTTTCCCAAGAGAAAGACTCATTGATTTCAAAATTGCCGTCTGTGGTCAAAACTTTACAGAGTTGTAGGGGTTAAATGTGGCATGCTAGCCCCCAAAAGACACCCGTTGCTTCGTGTTTTTCAAAATCCTAGAATGCAAGGAAAATGAAAAGAGGTGATTGACAACCAATTTGTCATTCGGGAGTCACGCCTTTTTCCCTTTGTGAGGTGTGATAAGATCACAAAAAGGGAGAGCATGCATAAAATGGAAATGTACTTAAGTTCCATCTCATAGTGTAATCACAAAAACTGCTGATTTGAAGGAATGCTTTTATTCTTTAGGGAAATTCTTTTTTAATTCTTTGTTAATTTCAGATGAAAGACTAGAGAAATTTGCCCTCTGGTTGATACAGATAGGTTGTTTCCAAAATAAATTTTCACAGTTGTTGAAAGGAGGGAAAATATTTCTAAGGCCCGTTTTAGTTGCATGTTTATCCAAAAGTTGAAAAGGAGCCCCTAGGAAGCCAAAGGAGTTGAAAATCGGAATAAGAGCTTTGAGGTGTATCAAATAATACAATTGTTTAACGGTGTTTCTTCCTGAAAAAAAGATATATTACTACCTATATTTACAAAAAAAAGGGGGGGGTCACTTACGGTCCTCAATCATCTAAAGTGTGTACGCGTCGAGGGGGGGGATTCTTCGTATCATAATATGAAACATGGTTTTTTTCCACATATTATCTAAAGCATAAAATACAACTTCAAAAATGCGGCATACTTTCTCAGCTGAGTCATAGCGTTTCATTTTAAAATTTTTTAAATTTTCGGCTGAGTTACATCTGCTTGTAATATTATACTAGTTCAGTTACAGCATGATACGATTTACGCATGCAGTGTTATATTTGTTTTTTTTTATAAAATAATAATATTGAATTTAAATCATTTTGAAAAGCTTTTTACCCATATTTTACGTAAGTATGTTCAACTGGGTTGCATCCTCAAAGTGCATAAAAACATAATTTTTTTTTTAAATTTAGACTTACATAACTATATTCAAGCACTCATCACTACAGAAGCACATCAAAAGTGCGCAAAATTAATTTAAAAAACAGAAATTAGCAGTTGGCAGCTACCTGGAAAAAAATGTCTTAGAGGGGCGCCGGTATAAAATATATTCCGGCTCTCAAAATTCAGGATTCCGCTGTAGATTTTTTTTAAGTCTCAATTTTGTGTCCTTAGGGTCCATAAGTTGTAGTTCATGCAAAATTTTGCTACAATTTAAATTATTTTATATACCACCCCTCAAAGGGTTAAAAAGGCTGCTTCCCCCCATGCTATGCAGGGTATCATTTTACTTATTGTATAATAAAATTCTTATTTCATATTTACTGTTTAATAAATTCATAAATATGTATAAATTCTAATATGCACAATCAGTTTTAAGTTTACATTAGAAACAGAATTCACTGCCATATTTTTGTTTATTTATAAGTTTTAAAAATTATTATACATCATGTTTCCTCAGAAGCTAAAATTATACCTTTTTAAGTATGTATATGAGCAATTAATTAAATAATTTTTTAATTTAAAATGAATAAGAATGTATGTGCGTGATTTATGCAAATATTTATAAAACTTTTAGTGTCTCACTGGTGTGTAATGATTAAATAACATTTATATGTTGTATAGCATGAAATTGCTGCTTTGATGTGAATGATATCTAAAAAATAATTTTTCCTCTTTGTAGATATATTCAGTATTTTCAACTATATTAAAATGCAATCCCTCTTACTAATACATTTACATAAACTACATCATATATAGAATTAAAGATATTATATGTTTAAATTTAAACTTACCTGAGAAGATACATCAATTAATTTTTTCGTTACTTTATCAGCTGCAAAAAAAGATGATTTTGGAATTGTAAAATTAGAGACAAAACATAAACAACACTATTTTATGTTTTACTTACAAATGACTATTGTGTTTTTTTACAATATTTCAATATTGCTTATATCGTACATTTTTTATAACTACTTATTAATGACCAGCAAAGTAGATTTCCAAAAGTGAACATGAACAGAATAAGATTGTGCTGATTGAAACATAATGTGTTTCAAAAATATTGCATGAATAAATATTTCTATCTTATCTAACTGATCGCAGACTCATAGCTATAAATTATTAAATATATTAGATAAAATAGACTTTCAAAACAAATTTGGTCATATAAGGTATTTAAGTTAATATGCATAAAAAAACTACATTTTTATATAGGAGGGGAAAAAAGAGAGAAAAGAAAAAGAAGGTCAGTGAGAAAAATTACTAAAAAAATCTTTTACTTTAGCTATCACTAATTGGATGATGCTGTAATTACAGCGACTTTCTCTGCAAACGAACCAGCGGCAGTGGCGACAGAGACATCGGAAAGTCCAGATTAGTTGTCTGACTATAAAAACGCGAACAAATTCTGTAGTATGTTGTCAATAAGAGTGTAGTTCAGCCCATTCTTGTGGATCCTGTGGAAAGCTTGTGCATGCAATTTGTGGAATAGGTAATGAAGCAGACGAAGGAGGAAAAATTACCTGTAGACTGTGTCATAATAAATAAGAAAATACGAATAAAAGGTCAGCTGCCCATACTAGTTTATAAACTCAAAGTGTCAAGATGCTAAAAAATTCAGATGCAAAATTTCCACCAGCAAAAGTTGGAGATAATATACGCATCCGCATACCAGATGTTGACAGAGGTCACAGTGATCCACGAAGCACCCTTGAAGTTGGCATAAACATCAAGGGTGCTTTCTACAAGCTAGGAACAGAACATGGTGTTCTCAAACAACTGTACTCCAGAAGTGAGTTTTCCATTTTGCAAGAGAAACTACTTACATTAGCATCTGCGGGCACAGAGGAAAAATCATTACAAACCGTTGCCTCTTCACAATCGGTGGCCAAGGCTACACTTGATGCAAGTGCTCAACAAATCGCTGCAGATGTAAAAATAACAAACTGCTGTACAATTCGAAATGTCATAAAAGTTCACCTTGTTGTAACAAGTGATGATACTGATAATTTTCTGTAATAAACTAATTCAGTAGATAATAGGATTATCTTTTTGTTTGTTTGTTTTCTCCAAGGTGGAGGAAATTTTCATAAGAGACCAGGAGGTTTCTGGTACAGTGAGATCCTTACTCACTAAAACTTCTCCTTTCAGACTACAGCCCACCTAGGGTCACCGTACCTCCTTGGCCTGTGTTCCGAAGGACGATCCTACGCGCCTAAAAGGGGCGGATTCGTCGGAAAATTCCTTTGCGGCAGCTATAATGTCATTAGCATTACGGTATACAAACACCCAAAATTTGCTCATGACCTTTTTCTTCTGACTTTGGTCGATCGTCCCATGCCATTTTCGCGAACTGGCTGGCCAAACACCGAAATCAAGAAAAGGTCGGACATTGGCTGGTCATTGTGAGGCAATATTGGCCGGCCAATTCGGAAACTGGCTGACTTCAGGCTTTGGCTGTAACATATACAAATGCAATAATCGCTGAAGTTTAATATGCATGTGAAGTTTCAAATGCAAATTTTCAAAATATTTTTCATATTAGAAAAACATTACTTCAAAAACCATATTAAATTTAAGAACGTCAATTTGAAATTAGCATTTGTGGAAACACTGAAAACTGAAATTTTGTACTTAATGAAATTAAATTTTATAGTATAATCTTTAAGTGAGCTTTCTTTTCTCTAGGCAAAAGTTATTTAAGTCATATAATTTAACATTTTTTTTTCAGCATTAATTTTATATTACAGGGCAGTTTTACCTTCCTCCTCCAGAGAAAGGTAAGGTAAAAAACAACTTAACTGAAACACCCACTGGAAAAGATCTATTTTCTAGAATAAAAATATTGATTTTTTATAGTTTTATTAGCATGTACCACAAAACCAAAACTGTCACAATTACATTATTTAATTCATTTTTAAAATCACCAAAGATCTATGACCAAGACATATTCAATCATACAAGCTTTTTTAAACACCTTATATTTCTGAATGTTAGAAATTAAAACTTTAAACACTTTTAGAAGATAAACATCACATAACAAAATACGTACCCAGATCATTTTCAAGAGTAGATGGTGGTCGAATGAGAGCCAAGTGGGGTGGAGGATTGGAACTCAGCCTCTCATTTTGAACTTTTCTCAAATCTTGCAACAACTGAGTAGTATTGTCTAGTTTCTGTTGAATAGCCCTTCTCTGACTCAATAACTGCTTATGTTTTAAATGAAGCAGATCACTACGATTCTTTTCACCATTTTCTAACTTCTTATTCTCATTATCTATATATAAAAGATTTGAAACTGCATTAAGATCCACAACAATTTTTTAAGGATGAAAATATAATTAACTTCATCATAAATGCAAAAGCATTTCTAAATTCAAAATTGCATCTGGTTTTACCAATTTTGCTAAAACATAACTGAAAAACATATTATTTAAAAATGTTTAAATGTGAATTTAGAATTGGATGGGTTGGATTACTTAGATTATGGCAAATCTTGCAAGTTTTCTGACTAAAAAGAAAGAGGACTTTTTGAGGGAAATTCACAGTACAAGTATAATTATATAATGTAAGGAATGTTTCACACCCTTATATTGGCATTTGTAGATACTTTAAATTAAATGCTTGTTTTATCCGAATCAATACTGGATCCTTGTTGCACAAACTGCCTTCCTCCAACTAATATTCATTGAATTCATTGTCTTTTCACAGTCACACTGTTACCATTAAAAGTTTTGTTGGAATTCTTTCAAAAGGTTATATATGAAAAATGAAATTACTTCTATTTCATAGATGTTATGACTAAACTTAAAAGTTTTATTTACAAGACTGCATTAAAAACAGCTTAAATCACTAAAACTTGCCATTCTAAAGGTGGAAACAGCTTTAAGAAGTTCCCATAAAATCCATCACTTTGCGTATGCACTGATGGACACAATCAATGATATGCCTAAGTAGCACTACTCTGCAGTTACTCTAGGCTCATCAGTCTTTGTTGCATTTAAGTGTTTATTCCAAATAAATAAAACTTCATGTAGCAAAACTACTCAGTCACTGAAAATAAAACTTGGAAGTGAATTATCAAATATTTATCACTGTTCAACAAATCTAACCAGAGGGAAAACAAAAAATCAAATCTGATTTGTTAAAAAATCTTCCTTTCATAACTAAAAATACCGAACAATAAAAATGCTTAAAATGTAAAAAAACAAATAAATACATTCAGCCCCCTCCCCCAAAACACAGAAAAGAAAACAGAATGACAACTGTTTAATTAACAAAATAATAATGGCTAGTTAATTGCCAACATCAGTTTGAAATGTTAGCTCTCAAAAGACACCATGATCGGTGATTCCAAGCACTCTACAACTGATAGCTCAAATAGCATGAAAAGGCAAAGAATGCAGACATCAGAACCACTAATGCAGTTACTTGAAGCTGTTATGAAAAGTGGCTCACCTTCCAAGCAATTATCTTTCTCATTCTCGATTTTCATGTTCCATCATCAGTCCTTTTAAAATTAAATACAGGTTTTATACTTATAATTTTTTTAATTCACATTTTTGTTCAAATATTATTATCATTTGTTATTATTTTACTTTAAAGCAGTGTATTTACTGTTAAAACCATATGAAAATTCAAGTTCATGGAACACAAGAACAGATTAGTCTAGTTCCTATTATTCTAAAGATGAAAAATTATCTTGGAACTTGAATGGAATGGATTAAGTTTGGATTCCAAGATATAACTATAAATACAGATAAATTCAATTAGTATAAAGTTTGGCTCATTCGGATTAAGGCTCAGAAGATAAAAATTATATAATATAATTAGAAATGAAAGGTGTTTTGAAAAATAGAACTTTGACAATAGAATTTTGTCATTTGAATAGAATTTTGACAAAGGAATGAATATAGGTGTTCACTGCTAGAAATTTGTTAAACACAATAGGCTTTAGGAAAATAAGAATCAATCAATCACAGCAGATGAGATATATTATCACCAGTACAAATGCAATAAATAAAGCATGTACTGATCAGATGAAATACTTCACTTCAAGCATGTATGAATAAAACAAAATTTACTATTTTGTGTTAGAATTTTAATTTATCATGTTTATAACATGCTCAGTATGAATGAGCCTTGACGAATATACAGAAGCTTTGGATAAAGCCAAAATATTATTCACTAACAGCCATCAGGTACTAAAATTTTTAAGAGATAATGGCAAATATATTGTCAACTTACCAACATGCTCAAGGCGAGACAGTTCTAAATCAATATCTTCTAAAGTTTGTAAAGATTCAATATCAGCAGTAACTGGGGCAGATAATGGTGAAGTCTTTGCCATTTCATTTTCATTTAAAGGCTTTAAGACTTTTCTAGCTTGTGCCTCTTCTTCCCTCACTTTCCTTTTCTGAAAAAAAAAAAAAAAAAAAAAAAGAGAGAGAGAGAGAGAGCTGTAACTCAGTACACTATTTTTTTTTAAAACATTTCATGAAGAAATGTTGATAAATGTTGAAAGCTATATTTACGGGGGGGTGGGGGGGTGCTTACATTCTGTAAATTTCAGACTATACAGTGGATTTTACCAGCAAATAAATAAAAATAATAAATGTTGCTATAAATTGATAAAACTAAATCTTTATAAAAATATGAGTAAAGAGGAAAGCTCCAGTAACTACTTCAGCCCTGAATGTAAAATAATATAAAAAGAGAAATATCAGTATATTAAAATACATTACTGTTTTAATAAAATTTTTAAAAAAAGGACGGGAGGAGAAATACATTTAGAGATTACCTTTTATATGTTACTAGTTAAGTCCCTGATTATCTAATCAACTGAATAAAGCAAACACGTGAAACTTACTATGCTATGAATTACATCAGAATGAGAGAATTAAAAAGTACAGAATAAATTTAGCTTTAAAGTTGTAGACACATTTTGAAACTTATGTTATGACTTTACCTCAAATCCTTTTATCGACCCTAAATATTAAGCTTTGGAATTAGTAAAATAAAATTCTGCCTAAAAACATTTTCCATATGCTAGCTAATAAACTTTGGAATAATTAAAATCAAGATATAAGATTTTGTCTCAACTTATATCCCACACCCTAGAACCACCTTGGAAATGTGTGAAAACAGGGTATTTATAGCCCAAGCTTATTCATACATCATTTAAATTTAAATGACCAACCAACATACCTGTGTGCAATGTCCAACCCTTGTTTTCAATCCCCAATGATATATCTTGAATCTTTTTATTTATTTATTTATTTTTAATATTTTTTTATGTGCAAATATTGATGTTAACTTATCAGCACAGGAAAAAACTAAATTTTTTGTCTTCTCAATATTGATGTTTAATTACTGAGTCCCAGACAAAACTAAAAACTTTTGCTGCTCAATGATCTCACTCAAACTGTTTTGATTACTCTCATTTTCAATAAATTACTTGCAAATGCAAACACTGATCAGATAAACCTGGCCATGCCACACATGTTGTTCCCTCTTCACCCTTCCTTCCCAATCATATTAATCAAGATGTTGATGCCATTGCTAATGCTGGAAATAACAACTAAAGTAGGCAACTCATGCCTTTAAGCACACTCATCTAATAATATCTTAAAACTAACATCAAATCAGTTTGCAGAATGCAAATCATAATAATAGAGCTTATAACCTGTGAATAACATGACAGAAGAGAGAAAAAAAAATTAACCAAAATTTCTGACCCTTTTTATGACTCCAAGCACTAATATTTTTTATAGGTGAAAATACTTGAAACAAATCCAGATATCTTCAATAATTTACATTCTCGGTAAAAAAAGCATGGTAACACTTAAGGCTCTGTAAATATAAACACTGATCAGCTGGATGGGTCCACAGTATACACATTTTTTTCTCTTTCGCTTTTCAAATATAAGATTATAAAATTCCCTGAATTAAATTAATCACTTCATTTTTGATAGAAATGATAGTGTGCACAAGAATTCAATGGCATAAAAAGTTTTAAAACCTATTACACTAAGGTATAAAATAATATTTGTTGCAAAATACTATTAAGAAGAAAAAATAAAATTATGTTTTAAATTATCCACATCATTATGCTGATAAACAATACATTAAGAAAATATAGAATATAAGATAGCTTATTCTTTGTTAGTTGGTGATTTTGATCTTTATTTGGAGTGGATAAAACTACTAAATAAAAACAATAACAAGCATCAATAATATTTTATACATGCAAACAGATTTCAAAAGTCTACTAGAGTTCAAATTCAAATGATAGTAAAAAGAAATAATCACAATAATAATAGCAATCAACATTTAAAAACAATTTTTGTGTATAATTCATTAGTTGTAAAATAATGAATTCCCCCCCCTCCACACACACACATGCTCTCAGGCATAACAGTTTCATTCTTATTCTAGAGATTATTAAAATAACATTTGATAAATTTAAATTATTATATTTCCAGTAAAAGATTGATAAAATAATTAAACAGAAAATTAAGATCTACTTTTCGAATATAATAGTTTAACATTTTATTTAATATATTAACTAAAACTATAAATTATAATTAAAATTACCTCTTCCAATATCTTAACTGTTTTGGAATGTTCACCCCCAGTTAGCGAATCCAAAATATTATCCACCATATGTAACACATAATCATTATCTTTGGCAAAACTTGTAAGACTGTAAAGAGTAAAATAGATAGGTTAATGCCATATATATAGCAAATTCTAAAAAGACATATATTTGCCATCACATATGAATAAAAATCACAATTATTGCACATTTCAGTACTTCTGTGTTATCTACTACCAGAAAATACACCTAGCACCACAGTAATGCAATAACTTGTTAGTAAATCTCTGCTGCAACCAACCTTTTACCTTCAGCTTGCTTTTTAAGCATATAATGAGTTTTATTAGCTTCTTAAGTATTTTAAATTTGTTATTTTCTACCATGGTCAAAAAATAATAAAACAAAAGCTAGGAGTCCCACCCTGCAGAATCATACATCTTTGCAGAATGATCTAATTTCCACAACCTAAAATATATACATCACTAAAAACATGTTGTTGGAAAGTAAATTTGAAAAATACAAATAGATAGCACGATTAAGAGCAAAAGTTCTGAAGTGGTAGTAGTAGTGGAGAAAGCCAGATTACATTTACAACAACTGTACAATTTATTTCCAATTAAGATAAAAGACAAAAAACTAACAAGAATTTAATTTTGCCTGGAAGTGGATATAGAAGATGTTTGCATAATTATCTTCAAGTCTGCACTGCTAAAAAAAAGGACAACCATAAAGTACATTTTGTAATAATTGTTATTAAAATTATTGATACCAATCAATGCTAAATTTGGTATTAAATCATATTCTTGATAATGGATAATTTACAAATATTAATATTTTTCCTGTACATTAAAAATATTTTAAGCTAAAATGTTTCAGTACTGAAATACGATGCTCATTCTGTGACTCAAACTACAAGATAATCTAATGAATGTTGAAAAATAAAACCCTTTCAGAAAATCCTTTCCATGCAGAATTCAAACCAATGCATAACATCAATATGTACACAGTAAAAAAATGAAGGAAACTACCCAGGCAGCATGCATTCGTAAATTGCACAAGAAAAATACGTGCAATTTACGAATGGCCTTTCGTATAAAAAGCGTTCAAGTTGAACGTAAAAATATCATAAAAAGTGTCCAGTGGCAATTACTAAATATTTACGTATATTTTTACGTTATACTATACGTAACTTTTATGTAAAATTTAGGTATGTTTACGCGAGAGACTACTGTTCATTCGCAACTTTTACGCATAATATACGTAAATTTCAGGGATTTACGTATATTTTTAGTAAAAATTTACGTATTCAATTTTTTTGCTTCACATATGCATATATATTTAGTAAAAATTTACGTAAATTTCCCCGATTTTTTACTGTATATATTAGGTAAAAATTAAGGTAGATATTCCCCGTATTTTACGGTACAAAAACGTATATATTTGATAGAAATTAACGTATATATTTCCCGTAATTTACGGTACAAAATCGTATATATTTGATAGTAATTGACCTAAATCTTCCCTATGTTTTCTTTGCATATGCGAATGGCTGGTAAAAATTTAATCCGATTTATTCTCCACTTTACTGTGTATAAATGCACATTTTTTGGTAAAAAATTTGCATAAATCTCCAATTACCTTTTCACTGCATTTTTCATAAAATGTACTTATTTTAATCTCATATTTTTTATATAAATCTATGCAAAAACTTTCTGTATGCTATGATTAAAAGGTAAAATAATTTTTATATCAAATTCTTACATATCTGCCTTTTAGTTATGTACAGCAATATGGAATATATACAACTGGAAAATTTAAATGCACTAGTAAATGCAAAAAAAAAAAAAAAAAAAAAAAAAATTAATAATAATAATAAATTTCTATTAAAAAATTACGTAACACTTAAAGGCTGAAAATGACTTTTAATATTTCATTTCAAAGTGACTACAAAATATGCAATAAATTTTGTAAACATCAATTCTGTGTTTTAAATCAATTAATGCTATTGTTCATTTGCATTTTTGTTTACTAAATTCATTTTATAAATTTAAATTTAGTAAAAAACTGTAGCAAGCAGTTGTTTACTAAATTCATTATTACTAAATAACACTTTAAATAAATTATTTGCTTTTCCGAAGGACATTTTCTTATGCCATGTAAATGAACGGTAGCATTAATTGATTTAAAACATAGAACTCAGGTTTACAAAACGTATTGCATATTTTGTAGTACTTTGAAATGAAATATTAAAAGTGATTTTCAGCCTTTTAGTGTTATGTAATTTTTTAATAGAAATTAATTTTTTTGCATTTAAATTTTCCAGTTATATATATTCCATATTGCTGTACATACCTAAAAGGAGGATATGTAAAAATTTGATATTAAATTAATTTTATCTTTTAATCATAATATGCAGAACATTTTTGCATAGATTTATATAAAAAATAAGAGATTAAAATAAGCACATTTTACGAAAAATGCAGTAAATAGGTAATTGGAGATTTATGCAAATTTTTTACCAAAAATGTGCACTTATACACAGTAAAGAGGAGTAGACATCGGACTAACCAAATCACCAAAGGTTTTACCAAAGTCATTCGTATATGCAAAGAAAACATAGGGAAGATTTAGGTCAATTATTATCAAATATATAAGTTTTTGTACCATAAAATACAGGGAATATCCACGTTAATTTCTATCTAAAGTACAATATAGTTAATTAACAAATTCAGTAAACGAATGTAGCACAAAAGAAAACATCATACGTTTAGATTATTTGAATGAGTGTGCTAAATTTTAAAATTGTTAAATATAGACCAGGAAATTGTAGAAAACTTACCTTTTCCAATAGTTTACCAAGTTGACTTTGTTATTTTCGTTGAAGATGAATGTTTAATGTCACAAATATTTTCATTCATATCTTCAGATAATACACAAATATATACATATATTTATTTATTAAAAATTCAGTTTATCCCAAACATGTTAAAGAAAATATTAATTTGCATGCAAGTTAATCGAGTAACTTCTGTTTTAATTACACACATAATTATGATATGTAAAAATTTTACATTTATCAGTCAATCTTGCAATGTATTGTAATCTATTATTGTTGTCTTTCTCAGTTTAAAATCTTATAAATATATTAGATCAGTACTAAAAGTTCACCTCTACAAAAGAAATGCTTTATTGAGGTATTTTTAAAAAGTTCCCTTTTACAATGTAACTGTTAATTTCATAAATAAGTTCATAAAATTATGCAAATTCAAAATTACCTAAATATGTTCTATTTTTATCTTATATACCAGATAAAATTTAAAAAATTTGTTTAGGAATATTGAAGTTTTTAAATATTTATGTCATGTGACTTTTTCTATAACATCATTATAAATGTACATGTTGATACCAATTATTTTTTTTTTTTTCATCAAATAGCTTTATGGTATTAAATGATTTAAAAAGAGGCAACTGGACAAAAGAAAGCAATTAGAAGTTGGCTAATTTTTTATTAATTTGTTGTCAAATGCTGTGCATTTTAGATTATGCTCATATGATGACAATGAGTTATTTATATTATAAAATTATTATGAACATATCCCACATAAATTAACAAGTAAAAAATTTCAAGTTGTTTGAAGTATTATGAACTGTAATACTTGCATAAGAAATACACATGAAATTAATTTAAGAATTAAGTTTATTTTACAGGTATTTGAAAACTGCAATTACTGTTAAACAATAAAAACTAACATTAAATCTGAAGAGCATATTTTTTTCAATAATAAAATTCAACATAGACTTCATGCAGCTTCGCCATATTTGTTCTATAGTTCGCTGTCTTTAATATCCTGCTCGATTTTTGTAAAAGTGAATTCTTTGTCACCCAATGTTTTGAGAACAGCTCCTAAACAAGAAAAAGAAAAATTTGTAATAATTTCACACTTCAGATGTTTTCAGTTTTTAAATATAGTTGAAGTATTAAAAAGATGCATATAAAATGCACTGAGTATTTCATATTTAAAAATTTACCTTTCAGTAATTAAAAATTTAATTTCATACTATCGCACAGTAAGCTTCATTTATATACCTTACACAATGCCTATAATTTCAAGTAAAAAATACTTAAGATTTGTTTAGAACTGCAAGGTTGAGAAAGTCTTTAATGGCTATGTTTGTATTTAAGTACATGAGAAAAAACTTAATTTTGTATTAATTATATTGCATTAGCCTTTTCAATTTTACTCCTACATATAGTAAAGAATATTCGCTTTCTTACAGATAAATTTCTCTTAAATAAAGAGTAAGCAGAAAACCAATCACAATACTATATACATATAACAGAATACTTCATAAACATATACATGTCATTAACATATGTATATGCATTAACAGGCTATTTTACACATTTCAATAAACCAGAAACCAATACACAATCAAACGTATTATCAGTAAATCAAATTTCAAATCCAAAATCAGAGCAAAAATCTTTAATTATGATAACAATGGCATCTCAGTTTGCAATATAAAATATTTCAAGTCTACATTCATGTGCATTCTAAGCAAACAGAAAGCTGAATAACAATAAAATTATAAATACCATAAAAAAGTTAAGAACCACATAGAATGATAGCAAGACTAAATGAAGTCTTCCTTCAAAAATCAATTAAATTCAAAAATTTGCCTTCCTGTTTAACATCTCAAAATAGAGTTACTGCTTTCACTAACTAAATTTCCTGTCTTGGCAAAATAAAAATTGTCATTTCTGTTGCAGGAAATATTTGCTGCAAAGTTTGTATGCAAATAATCCAGTGAAAAAATTTTAATTGTGGCTTGAATATTTTCTTTATTAAATAAATGAAAAATTGCCACATAATATTAATTTATGATCCACATGAAGCTTTTTACCTCTACCTTATCATGCAGCTATTTTAAAATATATACTCTCATATAAAAGCCACAGAATTTTTTTACCAATATTAATATAGTATAAATCATTAATAAATCTTCTAAAAACAGCCCCAAAATTTCTGAATTTGATACCCAAAACATAATTCTACGTAACTGTTAATGTATGCATTTGCTTGCACGTACTTAAAATGAATTATACA